ACGCCCTGGAGCAGCCGCCCCTGGAGCAGCCGCTCCTGCAGCAGCCGCCCCTTGAGCAGCCGCCCCTGCTGCAGCCGACCCTGGAGCAGCCGCCACTGCAGCAGCCGCCCCTGGAGCAGCCGCCACTACAGCAGCCGCCCCTGGAGCAGCCGCCCCTGTAGCAGCCGCCCCTGAAGCAGCCCCCCCTAAAGCAGCCGCCCCTAGGGCAGCCGCCCCGGCAGCAGCCGCCCCTGGAGCAGTCGCCCCTGCAACAGCCGCCCCTGGAGTAGCCGCCCCTGCAGAAGCCGCCCCTGCAGTAGCCGCCCCTTGAACAGCCGCCCCTGGAGCTGCCGCGTAGCCCTCGCCCTGCAGTCGTAGCGGCCTCGCCGTTGCGGACGTCGTCCGCCTGCCCTTCTCGCCACTAGTGAGCACTGCCCTGCCCATACTGCTGTTACTGCTGCTCTTGCAGCTAATGCTCTTTCTACTTCTACTGCTGCTCCTGGCGTGGCCGGATGCAACTCCAGCGCCGTCCGCGTGAGTCCCTCGCCCCCCAACAGCTTCGTGAGTGGTACGCTAGTTGGGGTTGTAGGGGTGGCCGCGCCGTGACTACTGCTACTGCTTCTGCTGCTGCTACTGCGGCTACAACTGCTCGTGCTGCTTCTCGCGATGGCCAGATGCAGCTCCAGCGACGTCCGCGTGAGTCCCTCACGCCTCAGCAGCTTCGTGAGTGGTACGCTACTTGGGGTTGTCGGGGTGGCCGTAGTGGGAGTCGTCCAAGAGTGAGTAGTTTGGGAGCTGCTTGTAGTGGCCAGGTGCAGCTGTAGTGTCGTGCGCGTGCGGTCCTTTAGCCCCAGCAACTTCATGAGTTGTATGCTCAGCATGGAGGGTCACGGGGTATTGCTCGCTGTCTGTACGTCATTCGCACTGGTGCTCGGACTGGTCAGCCTTGCTGGACGTTTGGTCACGCAGAGTCCCGCTACTTCGCCGGTCTGAGCGACGCCTGGCGTACGGAGTTTGGCGCTGCGGTTGAGCTCCCCGATAAGGTGGAGCTGCATAGGCTGAGGGTAGATATCCATGCTCTTGACTATGATGCTATCCTCACTGCCATGTATGCATTGCCTTCTAGTGATGAGGGTGACTGTTACTTGTGTGTTCCGCCTGACCCGGGCATTGAGGCTGCTGTTCTAGGTGCTGGTGAGGCTGATGCTCTAGGTGCTGGTGAGTCTGCTGCCCCAGGTGCTGGTGAGTCTGCTCTCCAAGGTACCACGTCCGCTCAGGCCTCCCACACCTTCACCCTTGACTCGGGTGCTTCCCGCTCCTTCTTTCGTGACCGCACCACACTCACGCCGCTTAGTCGGCCAGTTGCGGTCTCCCTGGCAGACCCCTCTAGGGGTCCTGTCCTTGCCCACTTCTCCACTATCTTACCGTGTCCGGCGGCCCCTTCTGGCGTCCTGTCAGGTCCTTACCTCCCCTCGTTCTCTACGAACTTGGTGAGTGGTGCTGATCTACTGGATGGGGGGGTTGACCAGTTCACTTCTACGAGTCAGCGAATGACCCACTACACGTGTGCTCGGACGGGCCGACACTTGGCCACGTTTACCCGTCGGCCGGGGTCGAGCCTGTACACACAAACTACTGAGTCTCCTCCGGTTGTTGCGTCTGGTTAGGTAGATTATTCAGGTCAGGTGTTTGTTGCAGCGTCCAGGTCTGGTCCTGAGTCTGCCCCCTGCTCGTGTTGTCTCCTGTCTCACCAGACTCTCCTCTGGCATCACCGCCTTGTTCACCCCTCCCTGCCTCGTCTCCGAGGCATGGCCTCCCGTGTCCTAGTCTCTGGCCTCCCACGGTCCCTCCCTCCTCTTCCTCCCGGGCCTGCCCCTACCTGTGTTCCCTGCGTCGAGGGGCGGCAGCGCGCCGCTCCTCACTCCTCCGAGTTTCCTCCGACAGAGGCTCCGCTGCAGACCCTTCATCTGGACGTGTGGGGCCCCGCCCGCAACCGTGGACAGGGTCATGAGCGTTACTTCCTGCTGGTCGTTGACGACTACTCGCGTTACACCACGGTGTTCCCCTTGCGCAGCAAGGGTGAGGTCATTGAGGTGTTGATTGACTGGATCCGCGTGGCTCGTCTCTAGCTTAGAGAGAGTTTCGGCTCGGACTTCCCTGTTCTGCGTATGCACTCTGACAGAGGCGGAGAGTTTTCCTCTGACCTTCTGCGAGCCTACTGTTGTGCACAGAGCATCCGCCAGACGTTTACGCTTCCTGCCTCTCCACAGAAAAATGGGATCGCTGAGCGCCGCATTGGCATGGTCATGGACGTTGCTCGTACGTCCATGATCTATGCGGCTGCTCCCCATGTTCTGTGGCCGTTCACGGTTCAGTACGCGGCGCATCAGATCAACCTTCAGCCCCGGGTCTCCTTGCCGGAGACCTCCTCTACTCTGCGGTGGACGGGGAAGGTTGGCGATGCGTCTGCGTTTCGTGTCTGGGGATCTCGGGCTTTTGTCTGCAACTTGTCTGCAAATAAGCGGACCCCTCGTGCTGTTCCCTGCGTCTTCCTTGGCTTCCCCCCTGACGCGCCTGGTTGGCAGTTTTACCACCCCACCTTGCCTCGTGTTTTGTCCTCCCATGACGTCACGTTTGACGAGTCGATGCCTTACTACCGTCTCTTCCCCTACCGCACTGCCCCGCTCCCCCCCCCGCCGCTCTTCCTCATGCCAGGTGCTAACTTGGTAGACTTTCTCCCCCCTCAGGGTCCTGCTCCCTCAGATGTTTCCCAGGTAGACCCGGTCGAGCCTGCCGAGGTAGCTGTGGACTCTGGTCCTGCGCGAGGTACTGAGCGTGCTGAGCCTGAGCGTGCTGAGCATGGTGGTGCCGGGTCTGGGGGAACTGAGACTGGGGGTGCTGAGCCTAGGGGTGCGGAGACTGCGGGTGCTGAGCGTGGGGGTGCAGAGATTGCAGGGGCTGAGCCTGGGGGTGGTGTCCCTGGGGGTGCTGAGTCTGGAGGTCATGAGCCTGGGGGTGCTGCGCCTGGGGGCGCTCTCTCTTACCAGCAGCTACGTGAGTGGTACTCTCGGTACTGTCGCAGCCTCTGTGGTGCTCCTGGAGCTGGAGCTGAGGGCGCTGAGCCTACTGGAGTTGGTGTCGGTGCTGACCCTGGGGTCGGCGCTGGAGGTGCTGGAGCCACTGGTCCTAGAGGTGCTCGTACTGGCGGTACTGGAGCTGCTAAGACTGGAGGTGCTGCCGGTGCTGCTGGAGGTACTGGAGCTGCTGGTGCTGGTCCTGCTGGAGGTGCTGCTGGTGCTGCTGGGGGTACTGGAGCTGTTGGGCCTGGGGGTGCTCCTGGTGCTAGACATGCTGGCGGTGCTGGAGCTGGCGGTGTTGGCGCTAGAGGTGATGCTGGCGTTGGTGCTTCTGAGGGTGCTGGAGTTGGCGCTGCTGGTTCTGGAGGCGCTGCGCGGCCGCGGTTGTACTTCGTTCCGCTCCTTCAGCAGGTTCTTGGTTTTTCCACCTTCTACTGGTCCTGCTCCTTCGTTAGAGTGTCCGCCGCCTGTCCAGTCGCAGTCACAGTTACTGCCCGCCTCCCCACTGCCTGCTCCTTCTCCCTACACGGGTCCTACCGGAGGTCTTGCTGAGCAACGCGTGCCTGCGTCTCGTCCTGCGTCGCCTATTCGTGCTGCTTGCACTAGTCGTTATGTTCCGCGTCAGCGTCCTCCTGCAGTCCCGCGCACGCACGAGATGGCACTACGTCCTTCCACTGCTCTTGTGCGTGTCCCTTTGCCGTCTCCTCCAGAGTCCTCTCTTCTTCCTCTTGCTCACCCGAAGTCTGACTCTCTTCGTGCTGCGAGTCCTACTGTCACGCGTCTCGTGGCTACTGTTGTCATTGACCCTTCCTTTGAGTCCACTGCTGCGTCTGCCGTAGTTTCTGAGCTTGTTGACTTGGCCTCACTTGCTCATGTCCTGACCTTGCTTTTATTGTGATCTATCTATCCTTGCACTTGCTTGTTTACTTTTATATATAATCCTGCATGTGAACTGGACTTGTGGCCTTGAACTTGTGCTCTGAATATGTGGTGACGTTGTGATCCACCCTGAGCTTGCTTTGCTTGACTGGTCTTGTGACCCCTTGTTCTCCCCCCTATGGGGGTGTGTCAAACATCTATACTATAGTCTTTCTAAGCTGTAGTGGGTGAGACGGCATGGGGTACAGTTTCCTAGGGTTACATATTAGTACCGAACTCATTTCCTAGTCCATCATTCCTCGTCCTCTCACATGTTAGGATCATTGTGTGTTGGAAAAATTGATATTTTAGTTGCATATATACAATACATGAAGATATTGCATCAGAGGCACTACTAACTTCGTGAAAATACAAACGGAACACCGTTAAGGTGGAAATCGCACGGAACGGCAGAGACCACCACGTACCTTTAAATAATATAATAGACGCTGCAAAAAACAGCAATAAAATTAGGTCTGAAAGAGAAACAACTGCCATCGCCATTACATAAGGTAGCACATAAAAACAACCAAAAGATGTTACTATGCAGTGTGGATGAGTAGCTCGCATGAAAAAATCATGGAGGGAGCTTCCCTTGAACGTCGGCAACGAAAACGATCAGATGTTACGAAAGAGCAAAAGCGTACAAGCAGCTGCAGAGGAATAGCACCGGGTCTTACTGAGAGCGACCGTGCGCCAAAATTTACCTGAAACCAGACTGCGTCACGCCCTCATTTGCGAATTCCTACTAGCAGCAGCAGCAGCAGCAGAAGAACGTGCGCTTTACGCCACCACACCCTCAGCCGCTAGCAGCAGGTAGCGCAGTTCGCTTCACGCCCACTGCCGCGATTCTCGCTAGGAGTAAACTGTGGCTATAAGAACAGGCTGACGAAACTCTAAAGCAGGCACGAAAGGCATGACAATAAGGGTTAGAAGAGGTGACCGCTAAGGTAGGCAAGTGAACGAGGGCGACTGGAGATATTAAGGAAAATGACGTACTAACACACGTAGAGCATCAATCTGCTTCTACTTAAACTTGAATGGAAACACACGCAATAAGATTGAGAGAGGTCGGTGTGAAAATATTAGGTGTGGGGCCTAGGCTTAGTAGCCTAGGCCCACACTAGGAGATAGGTAAGTTCGAGTGGGTTAGGTGAGAGTCGAGAAATTGGAAGGGAAGTGAAGTGACTAGCAAGAGTTGGGATACAAGTACATTGCCCTAAATTGGGTTGTACTCATTACAGAATACCCCACTGCAGGCTAGACAGCAAATATATTCTGACACACCCCCATAGCCAAAGTGGGGTGAAATCAGCAGAGCAGGCAAAGCAGTACAAGCTCAGGGTGGATCACAATGTCACCACACATTCTGAGCACAAGTTCAAGAAGCAATAGTTAAAGTGCACAATTATCAGCAAAGCTAGTGGTGGTCACAACAGGCAGATGAGGAGGAGGAGGGAGAGTGAGAGGAGAGGAGATGGGAGGCGACTGCTGAAGCTGCAGACACACGGGCAACAGGAGCGGCTGGCACAGTGGCTACCGGAACAGCGCCCCGGACTACTGGAGTAACTGGCTCGGCGGCTACGAAGAGCGGCAGGAGCAACGGACCCACGGGCGACAGGCGCAGCAGGCTCACTGGGCTACCAGGACAGCGCCCCGGACTACAGGTGCTGCGGACTACAAGACGGCAGCCTCCGCTCAACCTCCCACAAACAGTCCCACCCCCCTGACACACACCCGCTGCTACACCCCTAGCTCCACTCCCACGCACCCCCCTTAAACCCTGAACCCCAGTCTCCCACACAACCACCCCCCTCAGCGACAGCTGCACCAGTGGGAGACGACGGAGGAGGAGAAGGAAGGGGCGACACAAACGGAGCACCCCCACACCCGCAAACGGGGGGGGGGGGGGGGGGGGGGACAGTGCGCACGAGGGCGCAGACAGTAGCAGAGCGCACGGGGGCGCAAGCACGAGACACGGGCAGCAACAGGCACGGGCAGCACAGGCACGGGCAGCACAGGCACGGGCAGCAACAGGCACGGGCAGCACAGGCACGGGCAGCACAGGCACGGGCAGCAACAGGCACAGGCAGCACAGGCACGGGCAGCACAGGCACGGGCAGCACAGGCACGGGCAGCACAGGCACGGGCAGCAACAGGCACGGGCAGCACAGGCACGGGCAGCACAGGCACGGGCAGCACAGGCACGGGCAGCAACAGGCATGGGCAGCACAGGCACGGGCAGCACAGGCACGGGCAGCACAGGCACGGGCAGCAACATGCACAGGCAGCACAGGCACGGGCAGCACAGGCACGGGCAGCACAGGCACAGGCAGCACAGGCACGGGCAGCACAGGCACGGGCAGCACAGGCACGGGCAGCAACAGGCACAGGCAGCACAGGCACGGGCAGCACAGGCACGGGCAGCACAGGCACGGGCAGCACAGGCACGGGCAGCAACAGGCACGGGCAGCACAGGCACGGGCAGCAACAGGCACGGGCAGCACAGGCACGGGCAGCACAGGCACGGGCAGCACAGGCACGGGCAGCACAAGCACGGGCAGCAACAGGCACGGGCAGCACAGGCACGGGCAGCACAGGCACGGGCAGCACAGGCACGGGCAGCAACAGGCACGGGCAGCACAGGCACGGGCAGCACAGGCACGGGCAGCACAGGCACGGGCAGCAACAGGCACAGGCAGCACAGGCACGGGCAGCACAGGCACGGGCAGCACAGGCACGGGCAGCACAGGCACGGGCAGCACAGGCACGGGCAGCACAGGCACGGGCAGCAACAGGCACAGGCAGCACAGGCACGGGCAGCACAGGCACGGGCAGCACAGGCACGGGCAGCACAGGCACGGGCAGCACAGGCACGGGCAGCACAGGCACGGGCAGCAACAGGCACGGGCAGCAACAGGCACAGGCAGCACAGGCACGGGCAGCACAGGCACGGGCAGCACAAGGCGTACCGGGTCCAGGGGCGGCTTCTGGGGTCCAGGGGCGGCACCTGCAGCTGGGCGGCGGTAGCTGCTGCGGCAGAGCGGCGGCGGCTGCTGCTGCTGATAGAGCGGCGGCTGCTGCTGCTGGGTCGGTGGCGGCAGCTGCTGCAGGTCTGGCGGCGGCTGCTGCTGCAGACTCTGGCGGCGGCTGCTGCTGCAGGCTCTGGCGGCGGCTGCTGCTGCAGACCCTGGCGGCGGCTGCTGCTGAAGACCCTGGCGGCGGCTGCTGCAGCAGGCTCTGGCGGCGGCTGCTGCTGCAGACCCTGGCGGCGGCTGCTGCTGTAGGCCTGGCGGCGGCTGCTGCTGCAGGGCGGCGGCGGCGGCTGCTGCTGCAGGAACTGACGGCGCCCCGCGGGTCCCGCATGGGGCGTCGCGACGAGCAGGGGCGACGCCCCGCGGGTCCCGCACGGACGTCGCGACGAGCAGGGGCGACGCCCCGCGGGTCCCGCACGGACGTCGCGACGAGCAGGGTGACGCCGCGCGGGTCCCGCACGGGCGTCGCGACGAGCAGCGGGGAGGGCAGCGCGCAGGCCCCCCGAGGGCGCTTCGAAGGACGGGAAAACCGCCGCGCGCCCCGAGCGCACGGCGGGATGAAAAACTCCGAAATCCTAAAAAAAAATTTCGCCGCGCGCTCCGCGCGCGGCAGGAAGAAGGACTGCAGTGGAAGCATAGGGGCCCACAGGCCAAGGTAGAACGGGCTCTGATAACATGTGAAAATATTAGGTGTGGGGCCTAGGTTTAGTAGCCTAGGCCCACACTAGGAGATAGGTAAGTTCGAGTGGGTTAGGTGAGAGTCGAGAAATTGGAAGGGAAGTGAAGTGACTAGCAAGAGTTGGGATACAAGTACATTGCCCTAAATTGGGTTGTACTCATTACAGAATACCCCACTGCAGGCTAGACAGCAAATATATTCTGACAGTCGGAGAGATGGAGCAGTTGCGATGGGGAGAAGGGGGGGGGGCTGGGGGGATTGGGGAGGGGAGAGAAATTGTGGCGCTGGAGATTGTGCGTTTGGCGGGCGCTGCTGCAATTGCGCCAGAGGCAGTTACAGCAGCAGCGTAGTTGCACCGGCGACATTTACAGCAGCTGCGCGGTTGTTGCTTTGCGCTGGCACTTGAGCGGCTGCGCTGCGCTGGTTTGGCATATCCAGTGGTTGCGCTGGAAGCATATGCAGCGCGATTGCTCCGCAGAGTTGCGCTGGCAGTCCAGTTCAAGCAAACTTATCGCACAACTAATTTTTTTAACCAATCAAAACCTATCTGCATCGCCAGACATTTGTCGCTGTAAATTGAATGAACCAATGAATGCCCAAAATGATGTGGATGTTGAAAAACGACGGCAGAAGTGTTTGAACGAGTCGCGACATTAAAACTTCATAATACACACAAAAACATAATAGCTATAGATCCGATGAGTGTGCTTAATATTTGACAGACAATCAATTGAAATTACTGGTATTTAAAAATCCACGTCTATGATAGCAAATAAACTCCCAAATAATCAAAAGGGCCATGAATGAAATCTTTGTATTCAATATCATACACATGCGGAGTATTATATGAGTAATCACTAATACGTTTACAATCAATTGTGTTTTAAGATCCGGCAAAATATATTAACAGCCCTACTGGTCACATAAGTCGATGCATCAGTTTCATGAGAGTTGATTTTCTCTTTTGAACAGAGGAATAGTGGTAAAAAGGGCATTGGTGAGCTGACATGTTGCGCACAGGCCTATCCTTGCACAGATTGAGGTCAGGAAACGCACGAACAAGCGTCTCGAGCTCCGTAGTTGTGCGAACAAGCTCAAATCGGTTCCTATGGCAACAGAAAAGGAAGTACAACCTGAACATGTGAATAAATAGTGGTAAAAAATGCATCCAAACGTTGGCGAGCTGACATGTTGCGCGCATGCCTATCATTGCACAGATTGAGGCAAACAAACGTTCGAACAAGCGTTAGGAGCTGCGTAGTTGTGCGAACGAGCTCAAACCGGTTCCTATGGCAAGAGAATATGAAGTACAACCTCAAGGTGTGAATAAATAGTGCTAAAAAAGGCATTCAGACGTTGGCGAGCTAACATGTTGCGCGCATGCCTATCCTTGCACAGATTCACCATAGAACGCACGAACAAGCGCCACGTGCTACATAGTTGTGCGAACGAGCTCAAACTAGTTCCTGTGGCTAGGGAATAGGATGTACTAGGGAAGTGTGTGAAGAAAAAGAGGTAAAAAAAAACCCATGCGTTGAAACGATGACATGTTGCGCGCATGCCTATCCTTGCACAGATTCACAATGGAACGCACATACATGCGCCACGTGCCGCGCTGTTGTGCGAATGAGCTCAAACCAGTTCCTATGGCAAGGGAATAGGAAGTAATAGGGAAATGTGTGAATAAATGGTGGTAAAAAAGACATCCAGACGTTGGCGAGCTGACATGTTACGCACAGGTCTATCCTTGCACAGATTCACCATGGAACACACATATATGCACCACGTGCTACGCAGTTGTGCGAACGAGCTCAAATCTGTTCCTATGGCTACGAAATAGGATGTAATAGGGAATTGTGTGAATAAATAGGGTAAAAAATGCATCCACACGTTGGCGAGCTGACATGTTGCGCGCATGCCTATCCTGGCACAAATTGAGGCCAGCAAATGCACGAACAAGCGTCAGGAGCTGCTAGTCGTGCGAACGAGCTCAAACCAGTTCCTATGCCAAGGGAATATGATGTTATCCCTGATGTCAGGCTTATATGACTTAGCCTATGTAGGTGTCAGGCATATATGCTATAGTCTGTGTAGGCTGTAGTGGGGCAGTTCATATAGGGTACAACACTTTAGGGTTTACTACTTGTACTCCTCATTCTGCTCAATGCAATCATTCCTCGTTTCTTATCATGGTATCGAGCAGGTTCCCTAGTGGGAACGCTACCTAGGGCCCACCACGATTTTTTTTTTTCTTGCCCGGAGCGCGCTTCACTCCTGCCCGAGTCGCGCTCTGTGTGCCCTCCCCTACCTTCGAGCCGCCCTTAGTGGCCCCTCTCACGGCCCCTCGCGCCGCCCTCTACGGCCCCTCGCGCCGCCCTTACGGCCCCTTACGGCCCCTCGCGCTGCCCTTACGGCCCCTTACGGCCCCTCACGCCGCCCTTACGGCCCTCGCGCGGCCCCTTTCGACCCCTCGCGGCGCCCTTTCAGACCCCTTGCGGCCCCTCTGCGGCCCCGTCTAGGCCCCTTGCGGCCCCTATGCGGCCCCGTCTAGACCCCTTACGGCCCCGTCGCCGCCCCGTCTAAGCCCCTTGCGCCCCCTTCTGCGGCCCTGTCTAGGCCCCGTGCGGCCCCCCTACGGCCCGGTCTAGGCCCCTTGCGGCCCCTCTGCGGCCCCGTTGCGGCCCCTTGCGGCCCCACTGCGGCCCTGTCGCCGTCACTCGTGGCCCTGTCGCTGTCACCTTCGGCCACCCCGCCGCCACCTACGGCCACGTCGCCACCACCTGCGGCCCCGTCGCCGCCAACTGCAGCCACGCAGCTGCCACCTGCGGCCTCGCCGCCACCTGCGGCCCCGTCGCCCTCCCCTAGCGGCCACGTCGCAGCCTCTACCGGTCCTGTCACCGCTCAGCCGCCCAGCGTCAGAGTCACCGAGCAGCCCAGCAGCCGAGCCGCCCACCTGCCGAGCAGCCGAGCCGCTCTGCAGCCGAGCCGCCCAACAGCCGAGCCGCCCACCTGCCGAGCAGCTGAGCCGCCCACAAGCCGAGCCGCCGAGCCGCCGAGCAGCCGAGCAGCCGAGCCACCCAGCAACCGAGCCGCCAAGCCGCCGAACCACCGAGCCGTCCTACTGACGATCCGCTGCAGTTCCTACTGGTGAACTCACTCCCTACTAGGCCACTACAGTCATGGCTACCCTCAGTGTCCTTACTTTTGATGCTGAGGGCCGTGCCGTTGACTTTGAGGTCTGGGTCGCTGACCTCCAGTTGTTCCTCCAGTGCGATAGGGCAGACGGACTCTCTCTGTTCGATCTCACCTCAGGTGCCTCTCCTGCCCCGCCTCCTACTGCTGACAACACTGTTCGCTCACAGTGGGCGACACGCGATGCTGTTGCCCGTTTTGCTGTGCGTCGCCACTTACCGACCACTGAGCGTGCTCACTTGAGCCAGTACAAGAGTGCTGAGACCTTGTACGACGCTGTAGTTGCACGCTACTCTTCCCCTGCCACTGCTGCACTGAGCCGCCTCATGCTACCGTTGTCAGAACATTATAGCTTACTTATTTGTGTAGTCTATAGTGGGGTATCCCATAGGGGGTACAACTCAATTAGGGTTTCTTATTTGTACTCACTTCTTTCATAGTCATTTGCTTCTCGTTCTAGTTTTCTCATGGTATCGAGCAGGTTCCCCCGTGGGAACTGTGCTTAGGGCCCACCACATCGAACTTTTTTTTCTGCCCGGAGCGCGCTCCGGGCCCTTTCTCTTACTTTTTCGATCTGCCCTAACAGCCCCTAGACGCCCGCGTGCCGCCCTTAGACGCCCGCACGCCACCTGTCCCGGCCCCTAGACACCCGCGCGCCGCCCATCCAGGCCCCACGCCGCCCGCGCGCTGCCCTTCGAGCCCGCGCGCCGCCCGTCCAGGCCTCCAGCGCCGCCCGCGAGCTGCCCTTCAAGCCCGCGCGCCGCCCGTCTAGGCCCCACGCTGCCCGCACGCTGCCCTTAGAGCCCGCGCGCCGCCCGTCCAGGCCCCACGCCGCCCACGCGCTGCCCTTAGGGCCCGCACGCCGCCCGTCTCGGCCCCCCCTAGACGCCCGCGCGCTGTTCGCCATGCCCCTCGACGCCGTGCGCCACCCGACCCGGCCCCACGCCACCCGTGCGCCACCTGTCCCGGCCGCGCGCAGCTGTCCCGGCCCCTCGTCGCCCGTGCGCAGCCCGTCCCGGCCCCGCTCCCAGCCACCTGTGCGCCACCCGTCCCGGCCCCGCTCCCAGCCGCCCGTGCGCCACCCGTCCCGGCACCGCTCCCAGCCACCCGTGAGCCATCGGCTCGAGCCGCCGGAGCAGCCGGAGCCGCCTATGCTGCTGACCGCCCGAGCCGCCCGAGCCGCTGACCGCGTGTGCCGCTGACCGCCCGAGCCGCCCGTGCCGCCTGAGCCGCCCGAGCCGCCCCAACCGCCCGAGCCGCCTGCGCCGCCCGAGCCGCCTAAGGAGCCGAGCCACTGGTGCCGAGGTGCTGCTGTTGCTGCTGGGCCGGCCGAGCTGCCGTTTTTGCTGTGCTGCTGAGCTGCCCGACCCGTCCTATCTGGTGAGACCGCCGACTGCAGTCATGGCTACCCCTAGTGTCCTAGCTTTTGACGCTGAGGGTCGTGCCATTGACTTTGAGGTCTGGGTCGGCGACCTGCAGATGTTCTTGCAGTGCGATAGGGTAGACGACCTTTCTCTCTTTGACCTTACCTCTAGCGCCGTCCCTACCCCTGCTGCTGATGCTGACCCCACTATTCGCTCCAAGTGGGCCACACGCAATGCTGCTGCACGTCTTGCTATGCGTTGCCACCTGCCTACTGCAGAGCGTGCACACTTTAGTCAGTACAAGAGTGCACAGACCTTGTACGACGCTGTAGTTGCGCGCTACTCCTCCTCTGCCACTGCTGCACTGAGCCGCCTCATGCTCCCCTTCCTCTTCCCTGACCTTGCCTCCTTTCCCACTGTCGCTGATCTCATTACGCACCTCCGCACTAGTGACACCCGCTACCGCGCTGCGCTTCCTACTGACTTCTGCGCCAAGAACCCCCCCCCCCATGTACATCACTCTCTACTTTATAGTCACTCACCTCCCTGACTCCCTTCGTGTAGTCCGAGACCACTTCCTCGCAGTCTGTCCCACCACTCTCACAGTCGACAGCATCGAGAAGGCCCTCCTAGCGGCGTAGAAGAGCATCGTCGCTGTAGGAGCCTCTCGAGGTGACCCCCGCGCCCCCATCTTTGAGGGGTGTTCTCCTTCCCCTCTCTTGCCCTCTGTAGCCTCTGCCGCTGCGGCCGACCTCGTTGGTCTTGAGTCGGTCGGTGCGGCGTCTGCCCCTAGCGGGAGACGCCGCTCTGGCAAGGGCAAGGGGGGCAAGGGAGCGGGTGAGGCCAGCGGGGGCGGTGGAGGTGGAGGTGGAGGCGGCGGAGGGAGTGGGGGTGGCGGTGGAGGTGGTGGCAAGGGTGGGGGTGCTAGTGGCGGCAGTGGAGGCGGAGGTGGCGGCGGCGGTGGCGGTGGGAGCGGAGGTGGCGGAGGCGGCGCCGGTGGAGGAGGAGGCGGGGGTGGCGGTGGTGGAGGTGGTCGGAGTGGCGCTTCGCAGCGGAGCAGCACTGGACGTGGTCAGCGCCAGCAGCAGCAGCAGCGTTCTCGCGACGTCCCCACCCTTCAGCAGCTCCGTGAGTGGTACTCCCAGCGTCGGCGTGGTGGGAGTTTTTATCCCTGCACCTACGTTCTTCGCACTGGTGACCGCGCTAGAGAGCAGTGTGGGGGTACCCACACCGCCCAGCATTGCTTTGGCCGCCTGACGGACGCTTGGCGCGAGCAGTTCCCGGAGGCCGCGGAGATACCCCGCTGGGGAGAGCTGTCTAGGGCTGGTGTAGCTATTTTTGATCTTGACTTTGATGCTATCCTTGCTGCTATGTATGCTGTGACCATTAGTGATGAGGGTGACTATTACCAGTGTTTCTCGCCTGACCCGGGCATTGAGGCTGCTGCTCTAGGTGCCAGTGCGTCAGTGCTCTCAGGTATTGGTGATGCTGCTCTCTCAGGTACTAGTGAGTCTGCGCTCTCAGGTACTGCGTCAACCTCGGCCTCCCACACCTTCACCCTTGACTCTGGAGCGTCTCGCTCCTT